TCAATAAAGAAAACCGATTTTCCCTATGTCTTCCCTCTCATCCTCCAGAGTCCTTAAATCAGTAACATTAAGCTCTAGGCTGCCAATAACAGAGAGGAATTCTTTAGTAACAATACTATATAAGTGAGACATTGAATTAGAGTGCTTAGAATAGTTTTGTAATAGTTTTGTAGAGACTCCTGTTGTAGGAACAAAGTAGATTAGATCAACTGATAAAATACTTCCTTCTGTTAGTATTTGATTCCCCCCACCCCACCCCCACCAGTACTGGGAATTAAATCTAGGGTCTTATGCTTGCTAGGCGAATGCTCTACAAGTGAGCTTCATGCTAAACCTCACATTTGTCTTCTAAGCTGTCCATATCCAAATTCTGCTTAATAGAGAACATTTTGGTGTATGATAAAATTAGTGAGAACTATGTCCTTCATGTTACTGTTTTTGTTTTGTGAGATAGGGTCTCAGTGTGTTGCCCTGACTGCCTGGAACTCGGTCTTTAGATCAGACTGGCCTCACAATCACAGAGACCTGTGTCTGTCTTTCAAGAGCTGGGATTACAAACTCCAACAGGCACTTCCAGCTTTTCTGTGAGTGTCTCTTGGCATTGTATAGTGGGAAAAAGGTGCTGTGGTAATTCTCTGCCTTAGAGGTGTTACACGGAGGTAAATGGAAGTAGGAAGGTGAGTTGTGCGGACTGGTGGGTATGAACATGTTTGAATGCAAGGCAGAATTTTATGAAAGGAATACACATGATCAATGTCATGTTTTCTCATGAAGCAGACTTCTGAATATTATTTAGTATTATTTTTATTGTTGTTTTAATTTAGAGACTGTGTCTGGTGTGTATGTATGTATGTGTGTAAGCACACCAGTGCCATAGAGGTAGTATAGAGGTCGTGCGTCAGTTCTTTTCTTCCACTATGCGGGTCTCTAGGCTTTAACTTACTTAGGTCTTCAGGGTTGATGCTGAGCCATCTCACTACCCTATTGTTTCTTTTAAGACAAAGTATCCTATAGTCCAGGCTAGCCTGGAATTCTGATCCTCCTGCCTCCACCTCACAGCTCTTAATACCTTCTTTTTTTTTTTTTTTTTTTTTAAAGATTTATTTATTACGTATACAGTGTTCTGTCTGCATGTACACCCACAGGCCAGAAGAGGGAACCAGATCTCATTACAGATGGTTGTGAGCCACCATGTGGGTGCTGCGATTGAACTCTGGACCTTTGGAAGAACAGCCAATGTTCTTAACCTCTAAGCCATCTCTCCAGCCCTTCTTAATACCTTTTTTTTTATTTTGCAGGTAGAATTTTTCAGACATCTGTCAGATTACGGCCTCTTGGTTTTTATTTATAGAATCAACTTGATAAAATTACTTGCCAAGCATCTATATGTACTAACATTTCCCTAAGCTCAAATCAGTGTGATGCTAGATGCAAGCACAAATGATAACCAATTTAATCCCAGCACTCAGGAGGCAGAGCCAGGCGGATCTCTGTGAGTTCCAGGCCAGCCTGGTCTACAGAGTGAGATCCAGGGTAGGCACCAAATGAACTGGGGTGGTTGGAATCTTTAAACTCTCAAAACCCACTTCAACTAACATACTTCTTCCAGCAAGGCCACATCTCCTGAACCTCCCTCCCAGACAGCACCAAGTATTCAAATGCCCAAGGTTATGGCGGACAGCTCATTAAAACCACTTAAGTTAAAAAGGGGTGGGGGGCAGGTGGTGGTGGTGCACACCTCTAACACCAGCACTTGGCAGAGGCAGGTGGATCTCTGAGTTTGAGGCCAGCCTGGTTACAGAGTGAGTTCCAGGACAGCCAGGACTACATAGAGACACCCTGTCTCAAAAACAAAACCAAAAACCAATAAATAAATGAAACAAAAACTATGCAAAGACAAGAAAAACTTTTTATTACCTAGTAACAAATATTTTGCATTATTTCATCTTTTACTAAAAATATGTTCTTTTACCAGTGAAAATGATAAGTCCTAAAAAGCAGTTTTGGAGCCGGGCGTTGGTGGCGCACGCCTTTAATCCCAGCACTTGGGAGGCAGAGCCAGGCGGATCTCTGTGAGTTCGAGGCCAGCTTGGGCTACCAAGTGAGCTCCAGGAAAGGCGCAAAGCTACACAGAGAAACCCTGTCTCGAAAAACCAAAAAAAAAAAAAAAAAAAAAGCAGTTTTGGTTACACATTCTGACACAAAACACAGCTGTCACTTCAAAGGAAATAAAAGTTTATTTTGAGGATAACATGAGTGGCCGTGGTGCAGGAAAATGGTTTGTATTACCTCCTGAATAACATGTTTCACCGTGAAGAAGTTTCATAGACTTTTATAGTCACCAGATACATTGATGGGAACATCAGCTAGCAGGGAGAATTCTACTATAGGTTTCAGATACTGCCTGCTGGCACTCCTTAGTTCTGTGGTTGGTGGATGCGGTGGGACACTAAAGCAGTACATTCCAAGGTTTTAATTTATAGTTGAAGGACTGAGGTCAGACAGAGGTCAACAGTAGTAGCTCACCAGCATCTGGTAGGTAGAAGCAGGGAGATCAGGAGGTGAAGGTTATCCCCACCTACATGGAGAGTGCCAGGCCAGCTGGGGCAGTATGAGAAAACAATTATTAAAAAGACAAAGTGGTGCCTGGCTGTGGCGGCGCACGCCTTTAATCCCAGCACTCAGGAGGCAGAGGCAGGCGGATCTCTGTGAGTTCGAAGTTAGCCTGGTTTACAAGAGCGAGTTCCAGGACAGGCTCCAAAGCTACACAGAAAAAACCTGTCTCTGAAAACAAACAACAGGACAAAAGGGAAAAGAAATTAAGGCCAAGAAATGGCTAACATTATTTGTAATTGACTAATTATAACTGAATAATTGAAAAATCCATGTACATCTAGTAATTAAGGATATTAAATCCACATGGTACAAGTTTTATGTATTTTAAGATGGTCTCATGTGGCCTAGGCTGTCTTCAAGCTTACTTTGTAGCCAAGAATGACCTTGAATTTCTGATCCTTCAGCTGCCCCCTTCCAAATGTGATTACAGGCCTGGGCCATCACATCCAGCTTATGTGGTCCTGGGGGTCAGTAGGAATCAAACCCAGAACTTCATGCATGCTAGGCAAGCGCTCTACTTAAGATGAGCTACATCCCAGCTCCACTTTATACATGCATGTATGTATACATGTATGTAGTTAGTTTTTTGATACTGGGTCTCACTGTGCAACCTAGAATAGATTTGACTTGCTATGTAGATAGACCAGGCTGACCTTGAGCTTGTGGTAATCCTCTTGTATGTACCTCTCAAGTGATAGGCTTGTGCCACCATGCTTGACAAGAATACTTTATTTAATGATATGGGATAAAGTTGGAAGAGGGAAAAATGAGATAGAATTACATTTGTCCGTGCAAAACACAACTCTCACCCCAAAGGAAATGAGAGAGTTTATTTTGAGACAAGTAAGAGTGGCCCATGGCATGGGAACACAAATTCAACTTGTTCCAAATGACATGTCCCCGTGAAGTGGTTGCATGGGTTTTTGTAGTCATAGAACAAAGAACCAGTCAATGCATTCACTCCTGGGGCCATCAGGTACACAGGTTACAGCAAAACAAGAAAAACTCTGAAGGTCTCAGATGCTGTCTTTTGGTTTAGTGAAAGCTAGTGGTATTGACTCTCATCTGCAACATTCTAACTCCACTGTTATGAGTGTCTGGAGTTCAAATCAGTCTACAGAATGTAAGCGTGCTTTTTCAGGGAACTTAGTTCATGCATCCTGTAACAATCAGGTTGTATAGTGGCTTTGGGTGTATATTGGGTTCTGAAGATCAAACTCACTCCTGTCCTGGGTCACATAAATCAGGTTCTACTACAGTTTCTGTACTTAATTTCAAATAAAGCTTTTGTTTGCTTTTAAGACAGGGTCTCTTTTGGAAGCCCTTGTTGGCCTCAAACTTTCTAAGACTCTCCTACCTGTGCCTCCTAAGTACTAGGACTAAAGATTTATGTGTGTATGAGTGTGTTACACACATGTGCTTGAAGGCCAGAAACAAGCATTAGTTATCTTCCTATATTCTCTCTGCTTATTCATAGGAGGCGGGGTTTCTCCCTGAATTTAGGGTTTGCATATTTTTGACTAGACTGGAAGCTGGTAAGCCCTAACAATCTTTCCATTCCCTATTTCCCTCAGAGCTGGGGTCAGGTTACAGGTGTGTGTGGTTTCCCCAACTTATTATTTTGATGGGATTCGAACTCCAGTCCTTATAGTTGTACAGCAAGCACTCTTAACCAAGGAGCCATCTCTCCAGCTCCCACAGTACTGGGATTATAGGCTTTCCATTTTTCTGATGGTAAGACATTGTCGGTTACCAGTTTAATCCTTCCAAAGTGCTGTTTACTTACTTGAATCTACATTGTGATATCATGCCAGGAATCAGGATACGGGTGTTTTCAGTTGCTAGGATATGAATAAATCAAAGGTAGTAAAGATAGTATAGGTGATTGTTATGAAGAGCTGTTCAGACAGCACTTCCTTTTCCTGTGTTAGAGCTGCAACATCTTATTATTTGTTTGTTTATTTAATTAATTAATTAATTTATTTACCTGTGTCTGTGTCTATGCACCGTGTGTGCACCTGATGCCTGCAGAGGCCAGAAGAGGGCATTGGGCCCCCTGGAACTGGAATAACAGACAATTATAAGCTGCCACATGGGTGCTGGGAATCAAATCCAGGTCCTCTGGAAGAACAGCCAGTGCTCTCAACTGCATGATCCATCTCCAGCTCCCATTTACATTTTTTAAAGTAATAATTTAAATATTTCCTTTTAACTTACTCATTTGTTTGAGACAGGTTCTCACTATGTAGCCTTGGCTGTTCTGGAACTCACTCTGTAGACCAGGCCGGCCTCAAGCTCACAGAGGTCCACTTGCCTCTGCCTCCCTAGTGCTGGGGTTAAAGGCGTGAATACTTAATTTTGTTTTCTTGTTACCAACTCTACAGATTATAAGCACACCACAGAGAATTACCAATTCAGGAAGTGTTCTGATTGGAAGTCCGTATCCCTCTGCACCAGCAATGGTCACTCAGACACACATAGCTGAGGCCGCCGGTTGGGTCCCCAGGTAAGAGGGCCAGAAATGACTGTTTCTAAGCTTCCCAGGCCTTACTGTCCTGCCGCCTGGTCCTTGTCTTCCTACCTCCCCACTGTTACATTCCGTATTTATTTATTTATCAATCAAATGTACACACACATACATGTTGTGTATTGTGTGTGGAAGTTAAAGGAGAACATTGGAAGTTAGTTCTCTTTCCACTGTGTGAATCCTAGAGATCAGACTCAGTTTGTCAGGCTTGCCAGCAGGGGCCTCTAGCCCACCAAGTCATCTCGGCAGCCCAGAGAGTTTATTTTAATTATGTGTTATGTGTGTTTGTAAGGGTTGGGGTATGTGACCATTAGTGCAGGTGCCTGCTGAATACAGAAAAGAGCATTGGCTTCCTGGAGCTGGAGTTACAGGTGGTTGTTGTGATCCACCCAAGGTAGATGCAGTAAACCATGGAACCCTGGTCCTCTGAAAGAGCAATATGTGCTCTGAACCACAGCACTGTCTCTCCAGAATTTCCTGTTTTCAAAAAAAAAAAAAAAATTGGTGTGTGTATGATGTAAATGTTCACATATTTGTGAGCATATGTATTTGTGAGCATACATGTGTATGCATGTATATATATGGAGGCAAGAGGTTAACAACAGGTGTTTACCTTGATTACTCTACATTTTATTTACTGAGGGAGGTCTCTGGTTGAAGCCAGATCTTGCTGATTTGACTAGTCTATCTAGCCAGTTTACCCCAATAATCTCCTCACTTGGCCCCAAGTGAATACTGTTAAACAGGCAGGTTGGCCCACGGTCCCTGCTTTTCTGTGTGTGCTGGGGTCTGGGGCTTGGGCTTGTATGGCAAGTGTTTTAAACTCTGAGCCATTTCCCCAGGCCTTGAATTCTCTTCTGTTTTTATTAATCTGGTTATTTTCCGGGGGGGGGGGGCTTTATTTTGCTTTGGGGGGTTTTGAGATGGGGATCTCACGTAGTTTAGGATGGCTTCCAGCTCACTGAGTCAGCTAAGTGGTCATCCTGACTCCTGATCTGACTGCGTCCACCTTCTGAGTGCTGGTCACAGGCTGCTGTGAGTTTGACGGGTTTTACTGGTGTCTGAGACAGTCTCAGGATAGAACCCTGGCTAACCTGATACTTGATAATAACCCTGCCTGGCCTTGAACTCTCAGTCATCCGTCTGCCTGCCTGAGTACTGAGGTTACAGTGATTTTCCCCTATGCCCAGCTAGTTCAGATCTTTAAAAACTAATATATTGCTTTAAAATCACCAGCTATGATTGGGCTTTGTATGAAGCCTAGGCTTGCCTCCAACTTGCAGTTACCCATAGGCAGTGCCACCATGTCAATGAGTACAATCATATTTTTTATACTTTTTTTCATTTTTATTTCATTTGCATTCCTGTTTTGCCTGTGTGTATGTCTGTGTGAAGGTGTTGGACCTACTGAAACTGGAGTTACAGGCAGTTAGGAGCTGCCGTGTGGGTGCTGGGAATTGAACCCAGGACCTCTGGAAGAGCAGCCAATGCTCTTAACTGCTGAACCATCTCTCCATCCCTGAGTATAACCATATTTAAGCTGAGAAAAAACAGTTTAACAAGTTATAACCAGACCTCCTGAGTTTTTAAAACTCTGAAATAGGACTATTTCTATGATTATAATACTTAGCTACTTTGGGGATATAAAAATTGATTCTATATTGTTTTAACACATAAGAAAGGAATTATGTTAAGTGGCGGCTTTACTCATGATTTTCCCTTTGAGTTTTTTAGAAATCAGACAAACTAGGAAGAGAGGACAGATATATTAATATTTTCATTAAAACTCCCCCTGATTTTTTAAAATAAATACTAGGCAGTGAACTCTTCTCCCTTCTATGTTGCTCTGCCCCCATTTCCGTCAAACGCTCTGTGTTTCACCCTTGTCTCTAAAGTGCTTTTCCTGTCACTTCAGCACCCCACCTTCTGGAAAGGGTAGTGAAGCCAGGAGTGGTGGTGTATCATTGTAATCTCAGGCCACTGAGAGTTCAAGGCCGGCCTGGTGACAGGGTGGGGGACAGGTGCATCAGCATGCAGGAGAGAAAGGGAGGGCTAGAGACAGGGCTCCGTGGGTAAAGAACACCTGTTCTTCCAAAGGAACGGTGTGGTTCCAGCACCCATATCAGGTGGCTCAGAACCACCTGTTAACTCCAGCTCCAAGGCATCCGATGCCTTTGGGCCTCTGTGGGCACCCGCATACATGTAGCATGTACACATAGATAAAAATTAAAAGGAAGAAGGAAAAATATTAAAATAATACCCCAGCCTTGTTTTATCACTTTGGAAGTTTTATTACTGGAGGAGTTATGTATCTAGTGACATATAATTGGGTTCTACCTATGTGAGTTTGAGCAAACAGTAACTCTTTGTTAAGAATAACCTTGTTTCGAGGATAACTTAATGAAGTAACAGCTCTGTCGAATGCTTTATTTATGCCTTATACAGATTGACAGACATATCCACATAGACAGAAAGTTTTGTAAAAGTCATTTGCAAATCTGTACTGTTCTCCTACCCAAGTATTCATTGAGCTTATTCCAATGTAAGCATTTTTATATTATCATGTCTATATGATAGTAAAAATTAGTTTTCTTATATGTACATTCAGTGTAGAATGAGACAAATTATAATGAATTAATTATTTAAGAAACAGTTGTGTTATGTGTTATGCTTAAGCTGTCTTTTTGTCTTTTTAGTGATAGAAAACGAGCTAGAGAATTTATAGATTCAGATTTTTCAGAAAGGTGAGTATATTTTGTTTCATGTTCCACTATGAAAAGGAGGGGGATCCTTTGCATAACTTTATTCAGTTGCTACCATTATTTCATTCTGCACTGAGGTTTCTAATTCACTTATTTGCAAAATTTCAGTAGAAATCCTGTGACATTAGTCATTTTGGCCCCTCCTTTCTTTTAGGAAAGAAAATGTTCTTCCAAAGTAAATATTCCATAGTATCCTAACATGCCCAAACTTTTAAACAAGTTTTTTTTTTTCTTAAATAGTTTTAGATCATAGTAAATGCTTGTTTCTTTAGACACTTTTTGGGGTATAAGGTCATCTTTTCTTAGGATATTAGTATAGTGCTTCTACTTTTGTATATCAGAATCACTGTGGTCTCTCCAGTCAGTTAGCTCTGGCATTAAAGACTGTCAGTTTGTAAGCTAGGAATACAGCTCAATGGTAGAGCACTTGTATAACATTCATTAGTCCTAAGTTCCGTTCCCAGCACTAGGGGAAAAAAAGGATTTATTGGGTTAGAGCCATTATATGAGCCTAAGTTCAGAGTGTCATGCAAGCCACCGTACTAGGTGCCATATTAGTAAAACACTGTATTGAAATGAGCGCTGTCATTTCAGAGTCCGTTGACCTCTATAAGATGATAATTATTCTGTTAATAAAGCCTTGCCAATTTTTTTACAACATGCTCAGCTACGTAGGAAATTATAAGCCATCATGGGCTAATGTGAAACCTTGTTCTCAACTGAAAAAATAAAATAATAGAATCTCTTATTCCAGCAACAAATAAGAATAGTTAATAAACTTACTTAAAAGTACTCATCAGCATTAGTCATTTAAAAATGTACACAAGTTTTTTTTTTTTTCTTCCCTGGAGCTGTGGATCGAACCCAGGGCCTTGAGCTTACTAGGCAAGTGCTCTACCACTGGGCTAAATCCCCAAACCCTTAATTTTTTTTTTCTTCGAGACAAGGTTTCTCTGTATAGTTTTGGTGCCTGTCCTGGATCTCGCTCTGTAGACCAGGCTGGCCTCGAACTCACAGAGATCCGCCTGCTTCTGCCTCCCAAGTGCTGGGATTAAAGGCGTGTGTCACCACCACCCAGCACAGTACTGTTCTATATCTACCAAATAACCACGAGGAAAAACGACGCCATTGACTTTTACAAGTATATAAACTACCTAGAATGCTCTTGTGCTGCTGATGGCAGTGTAAATTAGCACAATAGTTTTGGAAGTTGGCATTATCTGTAAAACTGAACATAGATAAACCCTGACTTACCAGTGTTCTAAGTATGTGCTGAACAGGAACTCATATTTATACCCACAAAAAACTTCTTAAAAACTCTGCTTAGATTTATTTGTTTTTGTGCATATGAGTATTTTGCCTGCATATATATTTATCTACCACATGCATTCAGTGCCCAAGGAGGTGAGAAGACATCAGATCTCCTAATACTGGAGTTACAGAAGATTGTGCGCCACCATGTTGATGCTGGAAACCAAACCAGGTCCTCTGCCAGAGCAACACAGGCTCTTAACTGCTGAGCCAGCTCTCTAGACACACACACACACACACACACACACACACACACACACACACACACACACACAATTCCTACTTGATGAAATTAATTTGGGGGGGGGGAGTTATGAGTTATGTTTTGTTGTTGGTTTTGTTTGGTTGGTTGGTTGGTTGGTTTTATTTTTCTTTTTTGAGCCTTCTAAGTATTACAGGTACGCATCACCATGCTTGGCAGTTAAAAAAGGTTTTTGTTTATAAGATTACTTGAGAGTGGGTGGGTGGGTGTGTGTGTGTGAGAAAGAGAGAGAGAGAGAGACAGACAGACAGACAGACATTTAGGTACCCTTGGAGGTCAGAGATAGCATGGGATCTCCTGGAGCTGGGGTTACACGTAGTTGTGGGCTGCCTGGTGTGGGTGCTGGAAACCAAACTGGTCCTCTGTGAGAGCAGCATGTGTTTTAACTGCCTGGGCATCTCTAGCCTCTAACATTTTAAATTACACATACTTATTGTGCATTTGTCAGTGTTGGTGCCCGTGTGCCACTGAACACATATGGAGGTCAGAGAACAACTTAGTGGAATTGGTTCTTTCCTTCCTCTGGGTGAGTTCCAGCTCCAACTTCGTTCAGTGGACTTGGAGGCAAGCACCTCTGTCCGTTGAACCATCTCACCAGCCCCTCAGAGCGTACTCCTACTATTTAAACACTCTGTTCCTTTCTTTCCATATCGATCAGATGCTTAGTTCTACTACTTTTTGCCTCTCAATGTTTGTGGTCCTGTCTGTTCCTCGTCTCTACCATTGACCTAATTTCAGGTCATCACCTCAGCTGTTGCAATAGCTTCTTAGCTGGTTTTTCTTTCACCTCCTTTTCCCATAAAATTCACCTTCAACTTTAACACAGTAAGTTCTGCCTCCATTAGTATCTCACTGTGCAACTCAGTCACTTAGTAGTTTCCCTGCATTTCAGTACTACAGTGCCTATACTCTAGGGATACGTTAATTATTCTTTCCTAATTGTATTAGTCAGGGTCTCTAAAGGAACAGAGCTAATAGACTGAAATACACACACACACACACACACACACACACACACACACACACACACACACTAAAAGACAATTTAGACTGGTTTACAGGGTGAGGTCTGGATAACAGCAATGGCTGTTTCACAGTGGAAAAAGCCAAGAAGCCAGTAGTTATTCAGTCCGTGATAGTGGATGGCTCAGCATTTGCAATCTGGTGCTGGAGTCCTGGAGGATTCCTCCAGAGCTATTGGTCTTTGGCGTATGTTGAAATCCTGAAGGAGTTGGATTCTAATAGTATTGAAGGGATACCTCAGCAATTGGATAAATGAGCTTGCCAGTGAGAACAAGGGCAAGCAGGCAAAAAGCAGTTTCCTTCTTCCACGTCCTTTTTTTTAAAATCTGGACTGCCACCAGAAGGTGTAGCCAAGATTTAAGGTGGATCTTCTTGCGTCAGATATCTGTTTAAGAAAATCTGAAGGCAGAGTGAGTTCTAGGACAGCCAAGGCTATACAGAGAAATCCTGTCTCAAAAAGTAAAAAAACAAAACAAAACAAAAAAAAAAACAGGAAAGAAGATCTGAAGGCTGATGTAGCTGGATCTGCATGAGTTTGAGGCCAGCCTTGTCTCTGCAGTGAGTTCCAGGCTAGCTGGAGTACATAGTGAGACCCTGTCTCAAGAAATAAAAATTAAAGAAACGTGGCAGTTTTAGTTGACTCTAGATGTAATCAAGTTGACAACCATCCCAAGAATGTAGGGAACAGAAAGTAGATATCCTCTTCTTATCTCATGCTTTGGAAAAGAGCATGTCTAGTGCTTTTAGGGGGGTACATAACATAGAACATGTCAATAATTTATTGAGAAGACAGATTATGCTGATAAACATGACAAGATGAAGTGGAACTTTGCTTGCCTTGTGTTTGAGTCACAGCCTGGCCTCCCATGGTTATCGCTGCTCCCCCTGCATTCTATCCGGGTGAGCCCACCCTCCTTGTTCTCACTCTTCGTGTGCATTGCCTCTTTTCTCCATCCTGCTTGCTGCTGCTTCTCCTGACTCAAGCTCTCCTCACTTCCTTCCTTTGACCTTGACTCTCCCCACAAGTCATCTTCCTGTAGGTTAAAATAGCTGTCCATCTTCCCTCTTCCCACAGAACAGTGTTGAGTAACTGATGGCCTGGCACTTTTACCTTTGGAATTGCCCACCATTATGAATATGTTTCATCATCATGCTCTAAGATTCATTGAATCTTTACCTCCAAGTCTGAGAACTAAAGACTTAAAAGTTCTGCCAGGCAGTGGTGGCACAGGCCTTTAATCCCAGCACTTGGGAGGCAGAGCCAGGTGGATCTCTGTGAGTTCAAGGCCAACCTGGTCTACAGAGCGAGTTCCAGGAAAGGCACAAAGCTACACAGAGAAACTTTGTCTCGAAAACAAACAAACAAACAAACATTTACTGAAGGAAGGAATTGCACCTGAATTTTTCTACTTCTGGTCCCTAAAACAGTTCTTACATATATTTGATGCTCACATATTATTAGAGCTAAACTGACCCCTCAAGTCTTAATCGCTAAGAACTGAGACAGTGATAGTTTTTTTTTTTTTTTTTTTTTTTTTTTTGGTTTTTCGAGACAGGGTTTCTCTGTGTAGCTTTGCGCCTTTCCTGGAGCTCACTTGGTAGCCCAGGCTGGCCTCGAACTCACAGAGATCCGCCTGGCTCTGCCTCCCGAGTGCTGGGATTAAAGGCGTGCGCCACCAACGCCCAGCTGACAGTGATAGTTTTAATGTCAAAGAAAAAATATTAACTAAGAAATAATCTCTAGAAGGTAGAATTACTGTAACTTTTCACAAATTTATTTCCAGTGTCTACTATTGACTAGCATATAACATTAATTTGTCAATTCATGCTTACTAAGTGAATGACATTATAGAAAAACACTGTATATTGTTAAGCCCTTAAAATAAAAATTAAATTTGAAAACATTTCCTCTATTCTATTTAAATTTTCTTCATTTGAAACTAACTAAAACATAGAAACTAAATGATTGTCTTCTGGTTTTATTTTTTGCATAGTTTTATAGAGGAAGTCTCTTTAAGATAATGGCATATGAATTTTTTCATAAATCCTTTTTTTTTTTTTTTTTTTTTTTAAGTAAACGAAGCAAAAAAGGTGATAAAAATGGGAAAGGCTTGAGGCATTTTTCAATGAAAGTGTGTGAGAAAGTTCAGCGAAAAGGCACAACATCATACAATGAAGTAGCCGATGAGCTGGTATCTGAGTTTACCAATTCAAGTAACCATCTGGCAGCTGATTCGGTAAGTGGATCATGACTTTCATACGGACTATGATACATGTTGATTCCATTTACCTGGGAGTCTGTCTGATAGATCTGAGGAATGGAGGAAGTAGGAAATCCTTGAACCAAGAGTTTCTATTTCATGTTGAGGACATTTCTATTGTAAATTTCTGGTTTGTTTTGGAAATACTCTCTTCTTTTTTATTTGAACAGATACATATTTTGAAATTTTATTACTTATGTGTGCATGTACGATGTATGTGGGCACATGCATGCTATGACCTATATGCAGAAGTCAGAGGACAATGGTGTAGAGTCAGCTCTCCCCTTCCGCCTTCCCCTGGGTTCTGGAGAATGAACTCAGGGCTTCAGGCTCATCTGGGAAATGCTTTACCCAGCTGCTCCATGTTGCTAGCCCCCCAGTAGTTTTGGAGCCTTGCAAATTTTGAGGCAAATTGAAGCAGGAGAAAATCCACAATTCAAAGCCAGCTTGCAGTATATAGTGAATACAAGGCTAACCTGCCCTACATAGTGAGACCTTCATGTCAAAAACACAGAATAGGCCAGGCGGTGGTGGCGCAACGCCTTTAATCCCAGCACTCGGGAGGCAGAGGCAGGCGGATCTCTGTGAGTTCGAAGCCAGCCTGGACTACCAAGTGAGTTCCAGGAAAGGCACAAAGCTACACAAAGAAACCCTGTCTCGAGAAACCA